TTCATCCAGCTCTACACCTTGTTATCTCAGATTCTCCAGCATCTGCAGTTCCTACTATCTCTTGCATATTGATGGAGGAGGTGTGATGATAGTATGGCTTTAAGAGGTGTGTTTTGTCCTGTTCTTTTTAATAGGGAGAGGTTGAGACAAAGGTATGGAGCAAGTCTGTTCCAAGCCAATAAAGCAATCAGCTTGTGAGGCCTTATGTTTTTCTTAAAGTTGGTACAATAGAAGCAGCATGAAGGGCTGGGGTCACTCTCCCACAGAACCAGGAATTTAGTTTGACTTTAATCAGTTGCTGGGGTTTGGAAGCTGCTGTACATCTCTCCCTTCTACAACAAAAGGCTTGGGTTCTCTCTCTCTCTCTCCCTCTCAGACTCAGAATTTTCTCTTAATGTTCTTTCCTGTTAGACTGGAGAAACATTGAATGTGAGACAAACTGTTTTATTGAATTTGCGTCTGCCGAGGGTGTATTTATGGGATGTTGCTATCTTGGAACAGTTAATCACTTGCAGTTAACATTATTATTACCTTGTTAAGTATTTCAATAGCGTTAGAGTTAAGCTATTTTCTTATTTTGTCTGTATTTTAACTATAGTGTAAGAATAAAGTGTGTTTTGCTTCAAGCCTGATAGTTTGACCAATCGAATTGCATTTGGAAACACAAAGCCTTACACTTGCCTTTTAAAAATAAGAAAAAGTTGAGGTGTAGGCTATCTTCTTAATATATGTTGAGGGGGTTTGGTCTGATCCATAACAGAGGGATGTCCTGATTCTTAGCTCTGCTTTGTTTGCAACCTACATTAGGTTAATGCATTGCTATTGGATCTGGCGTAATCCCAGACCAAATTGAGATGGGAACTGGAGTGTGTATTGAAACCCTTCAGAGCTCTGCCTGGGTTCCAATTATTCCTTGCACACCAGTTGCTTATCTTAAATGCCAATTAGTTGGGTGTTAGAAGGAAGCAACTTAGTCTGCCCAAAGAGCTGATCAAACAATTTCCCAAGTGTCAGCCAAAATTGAAGACACCATTTTCTGCTGCTGTATGGGAGGGACTGATAGTTAAATGGAATGTGGAAGTTTGGAAAAGGGTCCAGTTACGAGCTTATTGTCTTCCATCTTTGATTTTCATTATTATTTAACATAATTCGAATTGATTTTTTGCTTTCTTTCACTGACTTAAGATTCATTGAGAAACAAAACAAAAAACTTCTGTTTTGCAAAACTATCAGAATTTTTGACCAGGGTTCTGCTGATTCAACAGGTGAAAAGCTGCGTGTGCTATGCTATAATCAGAATGGTGAATGGTGTGAGGTGCGTTCGAAGAACGGGCAGGGATGGGTTCCCAGCAATTATATCACACCGGTAAATAGTCTGGAAAAGCACTCCTGGTACCATGGCCCTGTCTCACGTAGTGCAGCAGAGTACCTACTTAGCAGTCTTATCAACGGCAGCTTTCTTGTTCGGGAAAGTGAGAGCAGTCCAGGACAACTTTCGATATCCCTCCGCTATGAAGGTCGGGTTTACCACTACAGAATCAATACAACACATGATGCCAAGGTAAGGAGAAACTATCTTGTCTATACCTTCTCTCTGCTTTTATTTTTTAAGCTCTTTGACTTCAGACAACACGCACTCTAGCCATCTGGAAGAGGCAAAGTTAAAATACTGGATTATACTATAACAAAGACATTAGAAGGTTTTAAAGGATTGATCAGACTGAAAAAAATGTCATGACTGGCTTTTTATTTGGACACTTGTAATTTGCAAAACCACCCTCAAAAATGAGTGCTTTTGTTCAATTTTTATATGCTAAGAATGTTTTCATGCCTCTCTGAAACCAAGGCTGATCAGATTACTAAAGAAACTTCTATAACCCAAATCAGGGCAAGAAGAAGTGACAAAGCAGTACTTCTAAGACATTAAAAAAGGTGGGCACTCCCTAAGTTATATACATGTGCCCAAAAGATAAGTGTTCTATCACATTTATGTTACAGATTACTGCCCTGAATTGGCTTATGGAAACATCTCAATTGTTGTTAAAATTGCTTGGTTTACATGCAAGGCAGACTATTTCAGTCATTCTTGGTTAAACTGACCACCAGTTTTACATCAAAACAGTTGATAATGCACCTTTTGTATAGGCCATTGCTTCAAATTCACAGTTGGTTTTGTATTGCCTTGGGGGTGACACTTCTTCCTGCAGAGGTAAGTTGAAACCATGCAAAAGCAATATGTTGCAGATTTGAGAAAACTGAAATGAAAACAGAAAATTTTAATGTTGAGCAGACCTGGCATCATTTGTTCAGAGAAAAACAGTTCATGGTTCAGGTCAATAGCCTTGTAAACCATGTGTACTTCCTTCAGATTGCTGCCTTCATACAGAATTTGGAATTGCTGTTCGCAGCAAACGTTTTAGTATAAATGCAATAAATTGCTGTGTTGCCTTTTGCTCAACTAGCCCAAATCATTCAAACAAAACTGTAGCTTTGGCAAGTATTTCGTTTTGTTTTTCTTAATTTGCGGCCATAGATTTGTGAGGCTTTCATCCTGGAAAACTAGCTGTGTGAAGTTGATTTAGCTGAACCAAGGAGAGATGGAAGTGGGTAAGATGAGCCAGAAGGAACTTGAGACAGCTATGGAAAACTGGGAACTAACCCAATTTTAATTGCTCAATAGCAGCTTGCATACCAATTGGAATGATGGTGAGTCATTAGTGTGCTATGTTAAGTAAAAAAGAGCTTCACAAACAGAAGGTATCATTGTGTTGTGTGCATTTGTTCCACCCAGATACTGTTGCTAATGAAGATCACCTGGTACCTGCTGTACCAATAGTCGTCATTTTGAAGTCATTTCATTATTGACGTTATTTGCAGTTCATGTAGGAATTGGTACACTCCTATATATCTGTATTGAATCTGTTCAGACATGGTATGGCACAAAAACAAAGCTGCTGGAAAAGTTCAGCAGGTCTGGCAGCATCTGTGAAGGAGAAAACAGAGTTAACATTTCGGGTCCGGTGACCCTTCCTCAGAACTGCTGAGCTTTTCCAGCAACTTTGTTTTTGTTCCTGATTTATAGCATCCACAGTTCTTCTTTTGGTTTTTATATAGTATGACACAAATCTGGAGCAGGTGGAACTTGAACCCAGATCTCCTGGTCCAGAGGTAGAAATACTACCAATGTGCCATAAGAGCCCCAGGTAGACTACATATCGTTGCTTTAAAAAAAGTAAATCAGAACAGAGTTATTAATCAACATATTTTGATCTGCTTCATAAGGCAAATGATGTAAACCAATTTAATATGTGATCTTATCTCAGCACATTGCTGTGTTGTAGGTAACAAGTTGCAAGTTTTCAGAATATTAATAAAAGATCTCTATATTATCAGTGATGCCATTTTCAGGTGAGATACTAAATTGTCGTTTTTGCTCATTGCGCTTGCTATAATGATCCCACTTTTGAAGAGCTAGGGAATTCTGTACTTCACCATTGAGTTTGGAACCAATTAGCAGTTGGTGGGATAAATGAGGTGGAGAGGATGGGTGTGGTATAGTTGGGTGGGTGAGGTGCTAGTTGGACATTTAGTTTCGTGGGGGTACCTGGTTGATCAGGGAGAAGGGTGTGGGGGTAATCAATTGATCAGCTGGAAGCCTACTTGCAGTTGGGTCGTTGAGGGAATCACAGTTCAGAAGTCACCCAAAGGGTGGTAGGGATCTGGAACTCACTGCCTGTAAGGCTGGTAGAGGCAAAAAGCCTCATAACATTTAAGAAATATTTAGATGTAGATGTGCAGTGCCAAGGCAAACAAGGCTATGGACCAAGTGCTGGAAATTGGGATTAGAATAATTAGATGGCTGTTATTCGTGCCTTTATTTATGCTGTAAATTTCTATGACTCCATTCTGCCAGATTTCCTTCCTCAGGGAAGGAATAAGTCATTGCCTATGAAGCGCTTTGAAATGCGCTCAGAAAATAAATAGAGAGACAATTCCATCGCCATGAAAATAAATTTTAAAACAAACATTTCCTCTCTGTTCATCTTGTATTGCATGCCGCAACTGGTCCTCCTTGCGACTGGCAAGACAGATTATGCTTGATCTCATCATCATTATTTGTAACTATTTGCAGTCCCCTTTTGTGACTAATGATGGAGTTTTGGCAAAGAAATTTTTCAGCAAGCCTTCCGGATGTTCTCTGTGCTAAGTATTACTGGAATTAAGCCCATGAGTCTCAATCATGTGGTCACATCTTGAAAACTGAAGGGATCACTTTCTTCAATTAATCTTCAATGACTAATCAAGCTCATGTTCAGAAAATGAAACTGTTAAATCCTTGTTCGCCAGGAGGAGAAAAAAAGAGTTTGACATGATGGGTGAATGCACATCTCTGGTTGAGAATCAGTTTCTGCAGATCAATATATGTTGAATTGAAGTTGTATAGCATAATGCAGTCCAGCAGATCATCAAAATCTAGCTCCCACGTCTTCCTCCTAGCCCTATTTTCATCTCCTTCTGGTTTAATTGTCCAACATAGTTCTCAGGTAAAACAATTTCTGTTTGCACGTTTTGTGAAATGGTAGTATCTGACTTAGTATTATCTAAATCGTTTATTCAGTTTTGAACGTAGAACACTGTATATTTTTGTCCCCTTCCCCTGAATTAACCATAAATGAGGTTGATTTCTATGTGAAACAATAACTTAGGTCAAAGTGAATGTCTGTTCTTAAATTGACAGTGATGATTGGTGATCTTTTAGTTTTGATGAAAGGCATTAAACCTCCATTGGTTAGGTGGTGGACAGTGGTTGAGTTGTTGTGCCTGTAATTGGTTTGTGCTTTAGTTTTAAGAGTGCTAAGCCCTTTGACTTTGCAACTTTGGCATGAGATGGCATGATCCGATGAGCAACTTAATAGAAAATGTGTTTAGGAAGTTGCATGCATCTATTTGAATTAATATATATTTACCGCTATCCTGAGTTACATTTTCTCCAGTGTGCCTAGCAATGTTTTCTTTCCTATTTGATGTTTTTCTTTCTCTTCATTGATTTTCTCCTGTTTTGGTTTTTATGGCTCAGTTACTCACCGAGCTGTGCGTACGAAGGATAGAAGAAAGGCGATGAGGGTAATATAATGTAAAAAATGTGTCCTAAATTGTAGAGGAAACCATCTCCCAAACAGGAATAAAATAGAGTAACTGACTTTTTAAAGTTTAAAAATTGCATTCAGAATGACCTTTCTATATTAACATTTACTATCTTATTTCATCCAAGTATGCAGTGCATCTAGACACAGCCTGAAATGTTGTTTTTGCTGTCACGTGAAGGGGGAAAGGGCTGCTGTTTGTTTTATCTACTTTGCTACTTGTGAGAAAGCCAATACGACAAGTAGGTATGTTTTCTTTCCACAGGTGTACGTGACAGCAGAGAGCCGGTTTAACACTTTGGCAGAGCTAGTTCATCACCATTCCACTGTGGCTGACGGACTGGTCACAACCCTGCACTACCCTGCTCCAAAATGCAACAAACCCACTGTTTACGGAGTTTCTCCCATACATGACAAGTGGGAGATGGAACGCACTGACATCACAATGAAGCACAAGCTGGGTGGAGGGCAGTATGGGGAGGTGTACGTTGGAGTCTGGAAGAAATATAGTCTTACTGTTGCTGTAAAAACACTGAAGGTATTATATTAGACCATATTTGAGTAGAATTTTACAGGCAAGGGTGTGCTGTGATACAGATTTGTTAGCAGTCCCTTTGGCAACATATAACCTCCAACTTGTATTTGTCCAACTTCCAGACATCTCCTTTTTGTGAAAGTAAATAAATTGAACTGGAGAAATTAATTTTCTCATGTCTTTCTGTGCAAATGTAAAGTTGGTTAGAGGTACCAAAGTCCCCTGTTATGATTTGAAGACGTTTTTCAGAAATCATATGCAACTCCAAAATATCTAATGAATTATTATACCAGTTTGATGTATATTAGAAGGGAATTATGGCTTGAGTTTCCAAGAGCTTATGGTCAGCAGATACAGCAGTCTATTTTGACTAAAATATATTTGCTTTCAATGAAGACTTGAAGACTGTTCTTCATTGCTGGTTTTGGATATTTGGAGAATAACTCTGATATAAAATGCGTTATCCAGTTCAAGATGCAGGCTGATCAACTGAATTAATAATGCATTTATGCATATTTTTAAAAACTAAATGCAGACAACCTAGATGTTTGTCATTATTCAGGACAACAGGAGGTAGTTTGCAGCCCTTGTTTCCATACACATTTGAGTTCCTGGTCTTGACAATGGACAACTTCAGTGCCATATGGAAGGTGGGAACATAGTGGAAGGGATGAAGGGAGAATGAGGAAGTGGCAGCTCCAGTACATGCACTTAGGGGTGGTTACAGTGCAATATTATTAACAAAGGACTGGAATGCAGTTTCAAATCTGTCTCCCAAAAGATAATGTGATGTTGAAACCGGAAAAGATGAGAATCAGGTAGAGATTGGAGGGTGAGAGGTTTAGCAAGATTGCTTGTGTTTATTCAAAAAAAGAAGTACATTGTTGATCTTTATGGTTTAATTTGAATAAAGGGCAAATATTTAGTTTGTTTTTTTGAATGTCTTATCTATAGGATATTCCTTTTCTAGAATCCATTTGCTTTCTTACAGACTACGTTCATGGAATCATAGAATCCCTACAGTGTGAAAACCATTCAGCCTATCGAGTCCATACCAACCCTCCGAAGAGCATCCCACCCAGACCCTGCCCTACCCTCCCTGCATTTCCCACCCTAGACACCATGGGCAATTTAGCATAGCCATCCACCTAACCTGCACATCTTTGGACTGTGTGAAGAAACCGGAGCACCCAAAGGAAACCCACGCAGACACGGGGAGAATGTGCAAACTCCACACAGACAGTCTCCCAAGGGTGGAATCAAACCCAGGACTCTGGCACTGTGAGGCAGCAGTGCTAACCACCGTGCCGCCCATCTCAATTTTTATTTAAGCTGTACAGTTAGAAAATTAGAAATTTCTAATTACTGATAAACAAGGCCTCCAATTTTTGCAAAAAAGTTTATTTTTGGTGTTCATTTCTGTTTTGATTCTTTCTAATAAGTAATTCAATTAATTGTAATAACGCTTGTTTATGGAAAGTGTTATGGCTCCATCCAGTGGTCATTCCAACTCAATTCCAATCTTGAGGACCATAAGATTAGAAGAATAAGGAGAGTTGGTCTTGAGATGAATCCCATACAAAATCCTTGTGTTACTTTGAGAATTATGATTCCTGTTAATTAATATTGTTAGCATGGGCTTTATTCTTGACACAGTCAGCTTCAGCAACTTGAAGGAATTTGCATTTTAAATTCGGTCCATGACATTCAAGACACGGTTTGTGGTATTTAAATTGTCGAACTGGTGCAGCTGTAAGTTGCTATTTAAACCCCATGTTCAATACCTAGTGTTATTCATCTAGCTCTGATTTCGGAGTGTGCAAAATATGTTGAGAGTAGTCTCTATATCAGACCAACAATTCCAGAGATACTCCAGAAAGGTATCAGCCAAGTTGACTTCTACATAACATCATCCGTCTGAGGGTTGGTTGGATCCAATAGGATGAGTGTCCTCCTTCCATACTGGAGGGATTCTATGATCTGGGCATCAGCTTTGTGTTTGCTCACCCATACCCATTTCAAACCTTATGCCTCTACATCAAATTAAAGGAATGAAATGCTTTAGCAATCATATGTCACTGCCACCTGGCACCGGAGAAGTCCAAATGGGTAATAAAACACTTTGAATCACTTTACGCAGGAATGCAAGGATATTGCAAACAAAGTCTAATAGGAAGTAGAGAATGTTTCTGAGCTTTAGGGAGTGAGAGTGCCCTTATGTATGAAGACAATGTTTCACAGCTAAATTTTATCGCCTTTGTCCTAGCGCTAAAGTAACGATGGCATAAAATCTACCAATATTAGGTATGTGGATGTCTTTAGTGAATAGAATGTAATTTAGCAAAAGAATACAAGCATCAAACAAATCTCATAGAGAAAGTATGATCTTATTGCTCTGCCTGTGACTTCAAATGGAAGGCATGAAGGGAATCTGGACATAGGATACAGAAGACAAGTAATAGAGCCTACTGTCTCTCAGTCCTGTTTCTGCTTTAATTGGTTGCCCAGTAGTACTGGGGGAAGTTAGTGCACAATATGATTTGGAAGAGTAGACGATGCAGATTGGTCAGCCCAGGTTAATAGCTGTGATGTGTACGTGACTTGCAGATTATCTAGCTGATCATTTTGCCAAAGTTAATGTAGGACACAATTTATCCAGTCCGTATTCTTTCCTAGGATTAATACTTGGTGCACAAAAGCCCAAGAATCTACGAAAGAATACTTTTTTAGAAAAAAAAATCAAAGAAGTTGCTTTAAAACAAAGTAATGATAAGCATTTGAGTTGTTGAAATGTGCCTGTGTATTTGGAATCAATAGATTCCACATTATCTTCAGCATATCAGTGCCAAGTAAGAATAGTTCATCAGTAGATGTATTACGGATTTCAACTGATTGTCTCTTTCTTCCCAAAAAGGAGGACACAATGGAGGTAGAAGAATTCCTGAAGGAAGCTGCTGTAATGAAAGAAATTAAACATCCAAACTTGGTTCAACTACTAGGCAAGTGTTTCTGGAATCTGTTGTATTGTAATGAGAGCAAGTCTTGTGTTGACTGTAGTGCAATCTACCACTTGACTTAATATTTCTTAGATTCGGGCCTCGACCTTCTTTAGAAAACCCGAAACGCCAGCCTTCCTGCTCCTCTGATGCTGCTTGGCCTGCTGTGTCCATCCAGATCTACACCTTGTTATCTCTGAATTGAGAGTGCAGTGTGTTTGATGGAATGAGTTCTCATGTCTTCCACTTATGCTGCATGTTAAATGTTTAGGTTTGCAAATATTTCAAGCAAGATCTCTTCATGGTTAGAAGCAGTGAGAGTACAAATGGAGCCTTTGAGATTGGGATGGAATATTCCAGTCTTGAACATTCTCTCCCAAGTGTCAGTCTTGGTAGCATTGAACCAGAAGGTTGAAAATTTGAGTCCTGCCCAAATCTTGAGCACTTAATCTAGGATAACATTTGAGTGCAGAGCCTTGGAAAGGCTGAACTCTGAAATGCTGTCTTTTTAACCAGACATTAGACCAAGACCCCCTCAATCCTTTTGGGTGGATTTAAATTATCCCATAACCTTATGTGAAGCAAATCAGTAGACCCCAAATATCTTGGCCTCAACTGCTATGCTCAAAATCATGTTATGAGATTGTTATTTTGTTGCGATTTGTGAGACTTTGTTGTATGAAAATTGGTTGTTGCATTTCCTGTTTTGCATTTATGACTAAATTCCAAAACACATTTAATTGGCTATGAAAATTGTTGTAGAAGGGCAAGTTATGAAAATTATTTGAAGATGGGTTTCAGGAAAATTGTGGACTGTGCACACAAACTGGTGCTGAATAAAAACAAGATTGTTTTGGTTACTGTTTGATTGTGGAGTGTATGTGCTTCGGTTATTGATGGATCTAACATGGGGTCTGTTGCCTTCAGGTGTTTGTACTTTGGAGCCACCGTTTTACATTGTCACTGAGTACATGCCCCATGGAAATTTGCTGGATTACCTGCGTGAATGCCACAAGGAAGAGGTGAATGCTGTTGTGCTGTTGTACATGGCCACGCAAATCTCTTCTGCTATGGAATACCTCGAGAAAAAGAATTTCATTCACAGGTCAGGCACTTTAAAGAATGCAAAGCATAGATTTAGAATAGGACTGAAATTATTTGATTGAGTCTATCCCAAATATGTTGGCATGATGGATTTATTATGAACATGTATAAAGGTAATTCTAAAAATATCAGAAAATTCATTAAAAAGGTTAATCATTAATTTTAGGTTATAGATACTATTTGTTCTACCACTGAATTACTTATACAAATATTGTGTGGACATTTTGTCACATAGCTTCTGGTTCTTCATTCCAGAGACCTGGCTGCTCGTAACTGCTTGGTTGGTGAGAATCACATGGTGAAAGTTGCAGACTTTGGTTTAAGCAGGTTAATGACCGGTGATACCTACACTGCCCATGCTGGAGCTAAATTCCCAATTAAATGGACTGCACCTGAAAGCCTTGCCTACAATACCTTCTCAATAAAATCTGATGTGTGGGGTATGTACAAGGATGTAACAAATATTAGACTGAATAACAAAACTCAGTATCAATAATCAGAACTGAGCTCAAATTTTTCTTTCATCTTTGGACTTAATATCCAAACAGTTTTTGTTTTTTTTTTGGTGGTATGGTGCATAGAAAGCAACTTTTTAAAATAATTCTTGAATTCTGCATGTCTCAGTCTACCAAATTCTCCACTCTTGAAAAAGTATATCACCATTGTATGGTTTTATTTTTGATGTAGAATGTGGTTCTGCTGTAAAAGAATGGCAGATAGTAAAATCCTGTAGTCTATTTAGCCAATGTTTTTTATTTTTTTTAAATCATTCATGGGATGTGTGTGTCACTGGCTAGGCCTTCTTTTGTTGCTCATACCTAATTGTCTTCATGAACCTGCTGATGAACTACCTCCTTGAATTGCTACAGTACCTGTGGAGGTCAGGTATAATTGATGTTTGACATGTTTTGTGGTCAATTTATGTCTTAACTTTAGAATTAAGAATTTATTATGAAAATGTAAAAACAAAGAGAATATTTAAGACTTTGAAATGGAAAATGAATTGCCTGTGCACTACCTTGTTGAACAATTTTCTCTCACTATCCGAGATTCACCTAAAGACCAGATTTGGACAGTGCTACAAGAAATAAGTTAGTGTATTAAAATATTGAGAATTAATTCAAAGTCTCAGTTGTTAAATGGCTAATTTTGTTCTAATTGAATATTATTTCTTACCTGAAGAAATGTGTAGTGTTTGTAAGGTATTGAATATCATAAGTGTTTGCATTATCAGTGAATGTAGCTCACTGTTCCAAGTGTTAATGTGGTATATTGGAAAGTTTTGACGTTTATCAAATTTCTTGTTTTAAATTTCCTTCCAGCATTTGGAGTGCTTCTGTGGGAAATTGCCACATATGGGATGTCTCCATACCCAGGAATTGATCTATCTCAGGTCTATGATTTACTTGAGAAAGGATACAGAATGGAGCAACCTGAGGGCTGTCCACCCAAAGTCTATGAACTGATGAGATCATGTAAGTAAACAAAAAGTGCTAATTTTGACAATGGCTGCGATGGGTCTTTCTACAATCATAGTATGTGTTTATCAATACAAATATAATCAATAGAAATCACATTAGTCTCATTGGTCCAGATATTTATGGAATCACTAACAAGCCATTGTGAGTGAGTGATTCATACGGTTATTTGAATTCATCAAACTTTGGTTGTGTTTTAACGTTTATTGTATAGGATATTGTGACTTGGGTTTCCTGGTCATGCCAATGACAATTGTCCATCTTAAATTAATAGTTATAGGTTTCTATAGTTTATAGAATTCACTGATCATTCTGCAGCACTGTACAAATTCATTAAAGTTTAGAGCAGCATGACACAAAGTTGTGAACAGCACTTTCCAGTTTTCCTGCAGTCGCCATTGTTATTTATCATATTATGCAGTTAACTTTTAAAATGTATTACTGCATGTTCATGTGGAAAGATGGTATGAAGCTAAGCTGCATCAAATGTCACTTAGGTTGGCAGTGGAATCCTATGGAGCGTCCATCATTTGCTGAGATCCATCAGGCTTTTGAGACCATGTTCCATGACTCCAGTATTTCAGAAGGTAAAAGATGTCAATGAAGTTTAATGTTTTTCAGTAGCGTGCTTCTTATGGGACTCAATATGGTAATGAGTTTTTTGACATTCCAAGTACCAACTATCTTATTAATCTCTTGTTGGTGACATTAATGGATAGTACGTTAATCAATCTTAGTCCTAAATGTAACTTTCTAAATTCTGCAGCACAGCAGAAAGTGGCAAACTTATTGATTCTCAAAGAAAATGTAAATCAAAGTCAGTAATACCACCATCAGGCAACCAAACTCTTCCTGATTTTGGAATTGGCAATTTGTAAGCAGAATGTGAAGAATCTTAGAAGTGACAGCAGAATAACAGGCTGTCAGCCTGTACTCAGTGACTACACGTGCACATCTTTTTAAGGGCCTCTGAAAGTTCAAGGTGCCAAATTATTTTTCCAAATATCACATTAAAGCGAAATAAGATCAGATAAATAGAAGGAAAGAGTGCGTTATGACTTGCAGGCGACACGGTGGCTCATTGGTTAGCATTACAGCGCCAGGGTCCTGGGTTCGATTCCAGCCTTGGGCGACTCTGAGTGGAGTTTTCACATTCTCCCGATGTCTGTGTGTGTTTCCTCTGGGTGCTCCATTTTCCTCCCACAGTCCATAAATATGCAGGTTAGGTAGACTGGCCATGCTAAATTGCCCATAGTGTCCAGGGATTTGCAGGCTAGATGGATCAGCCATGGGGAATGCAGGGTTATGGGGGTGGAGGGTCGGTGAGTTAGGGGGATGCTCTTCGGAGGGTCGGTGTGAACTCAGTGGGCCAAATGACCTGCTTCCGCACTGCAGGGATTCTCTGATTCTATGACTGTGAAATCCTCCCAAGCTGTCCTTATACTTTGGCTGATAACATGTGCAACAACCTCCACTGTTTGTTTGCATGCTACCTCTCACTCTCTGTGTCTATGTTATACCTCTATCTCACTTTGATATCATTTTTTTTTAATAAGTTTTCAAGACCAAAACCAGGAATTCAAACTTGTTTGTGCTCCTTTTCCGCTGGCAGAAGTTGCAGAAGAGCTTGGAAAAACTGCTGCTTCAACTGTGATCACCCACCAGCTTCAATTACCCCTGCTCCCAACAAAAACCCGAACACTAAAGAAAAATGCTGAAAATAAAGAAAACATGGACATGGACCATCCTGCAATAGCTCATACCACAGTGCCAGGTACTTGTCCACCTTTTTGTTGCTGTCTGAATTTTCACTTCTTATGTTTATCTGTCTTAGTCCCTTCCCCTCGGTGCAAAGTTTCCTTTAGCTAGCTTGGTAGGTACTTTAAAAATGTAAATCAGTGTTAGCAATATCACCATCACTAACCAAACTCTTTCTGATTAATGAATTGGCAATTTGTAGGCAGACCAGCAAGGATTTTTTTTCAAAGTGGCAGCGGGTCAGAAACATGCCCAACCCCTTTCAGTAATTGCCAAAACATTTTGTAATGGACCACATTAGTTCAAATGCTAGTTCTCTTATTTTGCCTAATAAGACAAAAAGTCCAGGCACCTGTCCCTCAAGTCTTCCGTTTTGTAGTTCAAAGTGAGCAATTCTGTTGCAGTTATTGACAATTTCTTCAAGTTTATCTATTTGATGCAATAGAAATCTGGAAGACCGAGTTCAATTTTTAACATAGCTGGGGAGATTGCAGGTCAAATGTTGTCATCTTGTATAAAAATCTCAAGCATAAATAATGAATATTTGCTTGACCATAATGTACAGAAATTTTCATAGAGCCATAATCCTCCTACACCCTCCGTTTTAGTAGCATTAAGAATTAACATAAAAAAATCCATTTAAAAGTCACAACATTAAATGCTACAAATAAGCGGTTATGATATAGGAAAGAAATAACGTGAGTTTGAAAGAAGGCAGGAAAATATAAAAGTTACCAAGGTGGAAAATGAGAACACAAAAAGTGGTGGGAAACAGAACAAGATGATGAATGTAGATTGATCATACACTTGCATGCTTTCTTCCATCTCAAGTTACATTTATTTTGTTTTCGTTTCCCAATAGGAATGGGAACAAGTGCAGCCCTGTGTAGCATCTCCCCTGCATTGCCTCGTAAGCAAAGAGATAAATCTCCCAGTGGTCTCCTGGACGATAGCAAAGAGACCCTGTTTACCAGAGATAGAAAAGCTGGCTTCTTCAGTTCTTTTATGAAGAAGAAAACTGTCCCTATGCCTCCTAAACGCAGCAGCTCCTTCCGAGAGATGGAGAACCACCCACACAAGAAATATGAGATAACGGGTAACTTTTCTTCTTTCTCATCTTTTCAGCACTCAGATGGTCTTACATTTGTCCAGTCACATGCTGACGGGACACACGCACAGGCTAGGTGCTGTGGACGGGGTTCTGTTCAAAGAAATGGTGGTGTAACTAGTGGAGGGTGGGCAGGATTTGCTGGATTTTTCACTCCACGCTTAATAAAAAAGACACTTGGCTTAAAAGCTGGGAAGCCTTCAAGTAATGATGATTCAAGCTTGGAAGCCTCCAAACCTTTCCCTCGGTCAAATTCTACTTCTTCCATGTCTTCAGGGCTTCAGGAGCTGGATCGACTAGCCTTGACTCTTCCTAGAAATTGTCACCGCAACAGAATTCAACTAGAACATCCAATTCCTGCCATCTCTAAAGAGGAGGAACATGGAAGACTCACAGACCCATTACATCGAAAAGCAGAAGATGGAATTTCCTCATTGAGAGACAAATCAAAAGCCAAACTCGTAGCGCGGGGTGCTGCAACACCACCTCTCAGGGCAAATGCAGGCAATGGAGACAGTGATCTTTCACAGAATCTAAATTCAGTGCAGGTTGGGCGGGGAGAATCCAATAGTAGTCATTCCAGATCTGTAGGCATGAAAGAGGATGTGGAGAAGGGAAGTTGGTCCTCTCCAGTTAAGACTGTTGCAACTCTTCCAGCAACTCATAATCACAAAGTACCTGTACTGATATCTCCAACTTTGAAACATGCTTCTGCAGAAGTTCAGTTGATTGGAACAGATTCTCTGGGAAACAAATTCAAACTGCTGTCAGAGCATCAGGTTGCATCAGAAAGGGAGCGTCCCAGGCTTGTAAAACCAAAATGTGCACCACCCCCACCCCCACCCCCTCCACCTCCTCTCAAACTATTGCAGCCTCCTCCCAGCACAGGTCTGAATAGCACAGAAACAGCAGAGGACTGTGAGAGCACATCAGCACAACAGGAGGTTGAGATTAATGGTGAAAGTGGCAAAAGGCCCACAACGGCTGCATTAGGAAAGATCTCCAGACCAACTCTGCCACCCCCTCAAGTGCCTCCAGCTTCATCCATTCCTGTGGTAGCTTCCTCCAAACTTGCAAATGGAGCCTCTGTAACTACGAGTGCTAGAATTTCCTTGCGAAAAACCAAGCTGCCACCAGAGAAGGTGCCAACAGAAAAAATCAGCAAGGAGGCATTATTAGAATGTGCCGAGCTTCTATCTAGCATCATCGACAGTGGCTCAGAGTCCACCTCCAACAGCCAGTTGGTTGAAGCAGGATATCGGTTGCTTGATCATTGTACTGGTTATGTGGACTGCATTATGCAAATGAGGAACAAGTTTGCTTTCCGTGAAGCTGTAAACAAATTAGAACAGAGCCTCCATGAGCTCCAGGTATCCTGCACAGCTTCTACTGGACTTACAACAAACCCTGTGCTCAGTAACTTACTGACATGTGTTAAAGACCTAAGTGACATTGTGCAGAGGTAGCCAAGAAGGCCATACTGTGTGTGAGAGGTTTAGTGACTCAAGTTTATTATCTGAAGTACCTCAGCAAATGTTCAGCTTTTCAATGTTTACAGATTCATCTCTTTCAATCAGTGAAGTCCTGATTAGAGCTATCTGTGCATAATGAGGGTGTGGAGAGCACTGTCTCCAGTTTTTACTGGGTGGAATGCTACTCCTTTATTAAATTTGGTGGAAAAGGTCCAAAACCAGCTATTTTGAATCAGGGCCAAGGTAAGCTTTTTTCCCCCCCATACTGGACAGTTCTCAGGGACTTCTCCCTTTTGAAAAGGAAGTCACACCTAATAGTTTTTGAGTATTTAATCATGTACTTATGATCATTTTGTTCAGTGCAAAACACAACACAACTATCTTGTCACTGAACTCATTCTATGTACTCATATCAATGCACTATCAAAAAAAGTTTAAAACAATTTGCTTTAATTTTGTCCTTCTGCTGCTCATGTGCTAATATTAATTCGTAACCCACTTTTCCCATCACACTCAATAGTAGTCCAGGTACTTTATTGTACTGGTCCATGATGCAAAACTTTGAGCAACCGCACCAAAATGTTGAAGTGTGAATGTAGTATGCTCTGCCAGGTGTTTTTTCACCATTCAGGTAGACAAGGTGTGAACAGTCATGCACCCATTGTTAATCTGTACTGAAATGCTAGCAACAAGACTGAAAACTAAAGCTTAAGTCTGTCACTTCCTCTTCATATTGGATGGAATTTGCTGGCAGTGCCTGAGACAGGCAAAACTGCATTATATCAGCAGACCTGTAAACTTAATTCAGGTTGATAATTTTTTCTGTATTTCCCAATGTAGCAGTGTTTCTCCTTTGTAATGCCCTGTCTTCTTTTGCAGCAGTATTGGAATTCCATGGGAACACTACTTCAAAAAGTCCCTCAGAACTGTCTTGGGGTTAAAGATATGCCTATGTAATATTGCTTCTCAGAGTGGACCTCGTGTTTCTATTTTTGGTGAATGGAAAAACAAGTTATGTGGCAGAATCTGCTGTGACTTCAGAATGACAATGTGAATTGTTTTACCTTGGGATTGCTAAGTGAATCTACTGTGTTTGCTGTGAGTGTAGAAAATGACATCCCTAAATCATGCACACAGCCAAGTCAGAGCTCTACCACAGTCAATATTTATGACAGCAAACCCGTCCTCCCTGCTTAAGTACTCACCCTGTGGTGCTGGAGCATCATGAAGGTCCCACAGGAATATTGCATCTGTTTTTTTTCTCTGTTCACAGCAATAGATTATACCAAGAAAATTGCACACATTTTTGAATTACTTCTTTAAACCACGACTCCTGTGCAGGTAACCCCATTTCTCTGCTAAAAGAAATTTAGGCACTGACAAATACTGGTGTTTTGCACCATTTCTGTTTGCCATTTTCCCATTTTTATATGACTGTTAAAGAAAAGCTTCTTAATACAGGTTCCTCTCTATAAATTAACCCATTAGTTCTGTGAAACTACTAGTTGTCAAATTAATGACCAGGAAGATCATTTTTACACTATCCCTGAAAAGCTGTCCTTATAACTTTCTGGCATGCAGATATTTTACCATCAACTTTATCAGTTTTTAATTTTTTTTTAACACAAGCCCATGGGAGGCCAGTGTACCTTCTCTTAAAATTGTATTTCTCTACCCCATCATAGTACTGATCCTGAATGTGTATGTGGTACTTTTTAAAGCGTTCCAATTAATTTAATTGCATCAGAGAATTATTCAAATGTTCACTGCTTGTTACACTCCATCCCACGTGCTCATTGCTGCCTCTCAAAGTAGTCACAAAGCATGTGCACTTAGGCAAGATCATTTCAGATAAGGCCATATATTTAAAAAAGGCAAACATTTTTTTCTTAATGTTGATGTTTACACTGTGCCTGGAACAAGGAGGTAGCATCATGATATGGAACCAAGGGTTAGATTTATTCGTGTTGGAATTTGGAGTTGTGACTGCACTAGTTAATACCAAGGCAGCACTTCATAATATGTGGTGTCCAGTTTTTTTTTTAGGGAAAGCAAGTGTGTTTGTATCATAGAGTACTGATCTTTAGGAACTTGACACCAGTCCCTCAAGTCACACTCCCTTGCTGTGCCGCTACTGTTTGTGCTAAGACTAGGAAAGTACTGATTTCTGAAAACACTAGAATAACCTTGCTGTGTCCAGTGAAATGCAGAATTTTTATTTTTGAGTGCTGTGACTTTCTGATCATGTTTGCAGTATTGCCTGTGGACTGTCAATTCAGACTGCTGCTGATAATTTGCAGAAATACTCTGTGTGCATTTATACCAAAGGCCACTTGGTTCAGTCATTTCTTTGTGCAATTTAGGCTGGGTTAAACTCATTTCTAGTTTCATGGGCAGATCTGCAATCAGTTTTATAGGATAATAGATCCTGATTTTGTTAACTGCTTTCACATAACAAACCTCCTTGGATGACAAAGCGGTCTCTTCCTTTACATGTGCTTCAAATTCCTTGCAAAAACAAAATGATGTTAACATCATGAAAATAATTAGAATTCTCACAACTAGTAAAATCATTAAAATTATCCCTGAAAAATTTCTGGGACACTAATTATAAAAGGGAAAACTAAAACTATCAAGAAATTGAATCCCAGAAGAACTGTTGTCTGTGGGCACATTGTGTTTTCATAGTTATCTTCACTATGATGTATAAAACAAACCTGCACCTCCTTTAAAACTTTGAATGCATTAATCCTAATAGCCTTTCCACAAAATACAACACAGTCCACCTCATACTTTTGTATTTGTCAGGATGTTAAAGTGGGCATCAATATCCATGCAGGTGCAGCTGTAGTGTAGCTTCAACCCAACAGAAACATCTGACACATTTAACATGAAAGGAAAAATTGAGCAGAGTTACTTTACTGGGCCAAAAATTTCATTTCCTTTGGAAATATTGATTTCCATAAAATAACGCAAACTGACATGGCAGAGATCAACCAAAAGCAAAATTAAAGTCAAAAACAAAATCAGATTTAAAATTAAGGAGGTCTGATTCACTAAGGTTTTAAAAAAAAGTCACGGCTACCCCCCTCAATATTTTAATATCCTCCAGTAATGAAAAACTTCATTGCATTACATTATTGTTTTTTTTCTTTATTCATTCAGGGGATGAGGGCATCGCTGGCGAGGCAGCATTTATTGCCCATCCCTAATTGCCCAGAGGGCAGTTAAGAGTCAACCACATTACTGTGAGTCTGGAGTCACATGTAGGCCAGACCAGGTAAGGATGGCAGTTTCCTTCCCTAAAGGACATTCATGAACCAGATGGGATTTTCTGACAATTGACAATGGATTCACAGTTATCATTAGATTCTTAATTCCAGATATTTATTGAATTCAAAATCCACCATCTGCCATGGCAGGATTTGTACCTGGGTCCCCAGAACATTATCTGAGTCTCTGGATTAACAGTCCAGTGATTTATTGTGTCACAATGACACCATATTAAAATGATGTCAATCTGGAGTAGAATGGAACTCCTTCAATTTGGATTAAAAGGAGAAATTGATAGAAATGTTTTTAAGTTTGATATTTCATTTGGCACACAACCTACCAAGTGGAGATTAGTATTTCCAAATTGTTAGCCAGTCATGCTGTGAAATGTCAAATCGGTGATCTCGGTCAAGGTTAGCCTTAATTTGGTTATGGTACTAATATATCTGAGGCCAAAGGTATGGGTACAAACCCCATTCCAATGACTGATGCATAACTGAGTGCTTAAATGATTTCCCTTTTGCCATAAAAAAATCAGCATGACCTGTTAAGCCCTGGACACATGAATTCTGAGTTTTCCACTTCATCCTTTCAACGCAACTGCAGAATAAACAGAATTATGTTAATTTACAAAATGCAATCAATTTAGGTCGTCAATTATGCTGATCAGTTACAAACTTAGTAAAAGGTGTTTTATTTATTCTTCATCCTTACTTGTGTAAGGGAGAGTTGTTACAGGTCATGAATGTTGATGTGTTGCAGCAGGAAATTTTCTTTTTCAGACAATGACATTTCCTGAGTGTAGCAGTGCAGTTCTAAACCTAGTATGTCCAAGAGTTCGGTGATTCACTGCAACACACACATCAGCTTATCTGTCCTCACATGTTTAAGGAAACAGTTTATCCTTAATTGCAGGTTAATGTGTGAGGGGAACTCTGGAGCCTGTCTACTCCCAGTCTGACTAAATTACCCGTTTTTTGTGTGAGGTGTTCAGTGATAGTGCGGTACGTTTGGGATAGACTAATTTGGTATAGACAACCATATGTCAGGTTTTGCTGGAAAGTGGAAACGAATTTATCCCAGCCTTTTAAACACTCTTAAGATGTGTAAATATGTGAATTAACTAGGGTGAGGGATGGCAGAACTACCAGAATGAATGCTAAATGACACGAACAGTATTTTGTTCTTTTTGTACTATAAATATGTTTGAGTTTGTAATTAAATTATCACAGAATTATGAAATAACTGAGTGTTTTTGGCAGTGCTGGCTTATTATACACATGGTCAGAATCTACAAGTGACAAATCTTTCTCTATGCTGTGGTTAAAAGTTATCAGCGTTTCAAACACCCTTGTGAAAAATTGTTTAATAATTGGTAGATATTTATGATGCCTATATATCTTCAATTCATTGTTAGTGAGGTTTTGCAATGCTACAAAATGTTAAGTTTTAAATCTGTGCTAAGTTCAAGGTGCTCAAAACAAATTTATTTTTGTTATGGCTTCAATGATCAGACCTCTATCCACATTTGATCCACATTCATGTCTCATGTTACTTCTAAAGTGCGTTAGCTTGAAATGTGTTTCGGTTTGGATAATAATTTACAATGACTTTACATTGACAGTTTGTTCATCTGTTTGCATGTTTGATTTGTTTCAACATTACCCTGATACTAATTAAGATTTCTCCAGAAACGTACAAGTTACTGATCACCATATAATTTGATTTCTCTATCCTGTGCTGAAGAATGCCAGTGAAATTGCTTTTAAGAATAATTTCGTCAATCGCTTTATCCCAAAGTAAAACATTTCAAACCCCCCAGTACATGATTTAGACTACTCATCTATTGTAAAGTCATACCATTTGCCTGTCTACCCTCTGTGAATTCACTTATCCATTAAATGCTGACTTTTCCCCAAATGCAAATCTAATATTGGTTTAAAAAAAAATCTTATTTCCTGGGGTAGAAGTGTGCACAATGAATGCACTACATGCTGTATGTACGTAGTCCAAGATGTTCCCTGTTTGCAGAAATCTTCTAATACTCCTCCAGCCCAGAAGAGATGGGACTTCATTTAATATCCTGCAAGGTATGTAAAATGTATGACCACATTTCATGCGCAACAAAACATTAGATTTCAGAAGCACATTTATATGTTACAATTAAGTTTCCATGTCTTAAAGCAGTTTGTGCACTTTCACATGATAAAGGAACATATGTTTCTACTACAACAGTAATTGCTGGAAAAGCTCAGCAGGTCTCGCAGCATCTACAGAAAGAAATCAGAGTTAATGTTTCAGGTGGAGCGACCTGTTCTGAGGAAGGGTCACTTGACTCGAAATGTTAACATTGATTTCTGTCCACAGATACTGCGAAACCTGCTGAGTTTTTCAAGCAATTTCGGTTTTTGTCTCTGATTAACAGCATCCGCAGTTCTTTTGGTTTTTTGAGTTTCTGCTACACTGCCATATGAACATTACGCATTTTGCAACCTAATACAGCCAGATACATTCCTGTAACAGCACTGAAAATCCCTTGGTATAATTTTGACTTGACAACCAGATACAAAATTAGGCTGAATGAAATATGTTCAAACAATTACAAAATGCCAGAAATTCTGAATCAAAGCAGGAAGTTGTACAACTTTGTGATAGATTGGTTCTGCTGATGTTCCCAAATATCTGACCAGTTTAATTCAGATCTCTCGTGTCCACACTGCTACTTAATGCTGATGTATTTAATAGGTTGGCATTTAGCATTTGCTGCAGATCTAACTTATTATATAAGTATTGCATCTGGCTTTTACATGTCATACATGTCTCCATCAATTCAGAATTATTTCATAAACCGAAAGTAATTCTACTGGAACTTTAAATTTAGAAGGAATTTCAATTTCAAAGCCGTCAAAAGTTTAAAGCCAACTTATGTGTTTATATGGCCTTGAGAAACAGAGCACATTTGTACCTCAAATCACAACTATGTTGCAGACCACTGATTTCTGTCCAGGAAGTGTGCCTGTTTTCTGAAATTCCCCACTAGCTGCAATCAAATTTATGTCTTGAGTAGTACTAACATTTGATAGATTTCATTAACTAAGTCGCAGAAACCTATGGAACAGTTTTCTACTTTTTTGAATGCTGCGAGCTGGGGAGAGACTAGAAGAGAGAAGCTAGTTTTGAAGCATGAATATTATAAATGCTGCAGGTGGCAGAGGTTGGAATACTAAAGAATGGTTAAATCAGAGAATTGTTACAGAGCAGAAAGAAGGCCCATCACGTCTGCACCAGCTCTCGTGAGCATTTTAACATTTTGCCAATCACCTGTCTTTTCCCTGTAAGCCTGCACGTTATTTCTATTTAAATAATCATCCCATGTTCTCTTGAATGTCTCGGTTGAACTTCCCTCCACTACATGACTCATAACTGAAGTGTCTCAACTCTTGAACCACTCTCAAACTCTTCTACACTCTCTCCAATTCATTCACATCCTTCCTCTTATGCAGCACTCACTATACATGATACCCCAGCTGAAATCTAGTTTGTATCTTCTGTAATATTCATAACCTTTTCTTGCCCCTATTTATGAAGCTTAAGTATGCCTTACTTGTCCTGCCACTTTAGTGATTGACTTACATGCACCGGGTCTCTGTAGCTGAATACCCTTTATTTTAAAAAGTCTCTCCTTGTTCACTGAAATGAAGTGCATTGCCTCATACTTCTCCATACTGAACTTTATCTGCCACCTATCCTTCCACTCCTCCAACTCGGCAATATCCATTTGAAGTTCTGCTATCAGTACTCGGTGTACAATTCTCTCAAGTTTTCAGTCAACTGAAAACTTTAAAACTGTCCCCTACATGCCAAGGTCTAAATCATTTTATCAGGAAAAGCAAGGTCCCAATACCAACCTCTGGGCAACTCCAGTAGAAAACATGTTGCCAACCTGAAAACCACTCACTAACCATTGCATTCTATATCCTGTCCATCAGCTAATTTTGGTATCCATGTTGCTGCTATCCTTTTTATTCCGTGACCAATGACATTACTCAACGGTCTGTATGGGACTACAACAGAAGCCTTTTGCAAGACCATGCTCACCACGTCAACAGTCTTTCCCTCATTAATATTCTCTGTTGCCTCTTTAAAAAGTTAATAAGATATAATTTCCATGTGGCTATTATTTCTATGCTGAATAATTGTTTCTAGAAGTTTCCCCACCATTGAAGTTAAACTGGGGTGTATTTGATGGACTGATGTTTACAATTTTTTTTTTAAGAAAAAGAGTAATGTTAGCAATTTTCAAACCTACAGCACCATCCCCAAATGCAGGAAAGATTGAAAGACAGTTGCCAATGCCATTGTAATTTCCACTCTCGCCTCCTTCAATAGCCTGGGATGCATCTCATCTGGTTCAGGCATTTTACATCTGTAAGCACCAGCAGCTCATCTAATACCACTTCATTGTCAAATTAACCTTTCTAGTGACTACGTTTCCTGCTGAGACCAAATTTGGAGTACAGTGTTCAGTTTTGATCACCATTGCTAAAGAAAGACATACTTGCCTCAGAGATTATGCAGTCAAGGCTCAATAGAATAATTCTTGGGAATAGAAAGTTGTCATTTGGGCAGGGAGTTGAGTAGGATGGTCTTGTACCCTGGAGTTGAAAAGAATGAGGTGATCTCCTTGAAGCATATGAGCCATTTCACAATAAGACAAGGAACTTATTCACTCAGTGAGTTGTTAATCTCTGGAAACCTCTACCTGAGAACAATGTGAATATTCAATTGTTAGTATACTCAAAATTGAAAAATCGGATCTCGGAAATCTAAAGGAACTAATTGATATGTTCTGAGGAAGGGTCACCAGACCCGAAATGTTAACTTTGATTTTTTTTCTTCACAGATGCTGCCATACCTGCTGAGCTTTTCCAACAATTTCTGTTTTTGTTCCTGATTTACAGCATCTGCAGTTCTTTTGGTTTTTATGTAATTGATATGCTCATTTAA